CTCGTCCGACTGTCAACTTCCTCCAGCCTATTCTACAATACCTCTGTACAAAATACACTATTCCACTCATCTGGTGTCTCACGTTTCACTTCACTTGGACTGAAGATTGTGGTCGCAAGTGTTTAAATTATTAACTTAAGCCACTACGATAATATTGTTGACAGTACAGACGTCCGAAAATTTAGCATTGACGACAGCTACTAGGGAATGCTACCAATGAATTTGAAATGCTCTGCTTCCGAGGTGCTTTTTAAAGTTGCCAGTTACGCTCACGGTGGAAGCAGTGGCGAACAAGCAGGCTGCCCGCCACTCCACGCACTTCATGATTTAATGGTACTCATGGTATTCTCCCTAGAAATGAATGGAACGTGGCCGCCACTGCCTATCACTTACTGCGCCTTCACTGACAATGTAAAACAGACTGACTGATTAACAGTGTAAATGTTTCTATGCCCATCAGTACTGAAACCGTAACGAAGGATTTCCCGATGAATTGGATGTCCAATTTTGGTTTACCTGTGGCTGTCACAATTGACCGCAACTCGCAACTTGAGTCCACTTGGGGCCGTCAACTCACTTCTAACCTCAATGAAAACTGAATTCGAACGACTGCATACCATGCTCTTGCAAGTGGCCTCGTTTAATTTTTCCACCGGCAGTTAAAGGTGATTTAAATGGTTCAGTCCGATCCTCCTCGGCGGCGTGATAACATCCCTCTACTTATTTTGTCCCTCCGTTCCACTCTCGATGCTGACATCGGTTGTACTGCAGCCGACTCTGTCCACCGAACTTTTCAACGACAGCTCTGTGAGTTAGTTTCCTCTACAACGTTAAAGGCGGTGACGTCACCAGCACCTACCTCCGATTCCCTTCAAAATATGCGGTCGTCACTTGCACTGACCTGACATATTTGTGGCTGGCTAACCTATCAATCCCTCCACTCCATTTGGTGTCCGCGGACGGGGTGGCAGATGCGCCGGCGCCACTGGCCGAAGTGATGTACGACAGGCCTGTTACCCTCGAGCTTTCGATATTTGCGAACATGACCACTAGACTCAGCCCATGTAACAATTACCCGCGTAATACACAGTTTACCAATTCTTTATGCTGATGAATCCATGCCACCCCACGGAAGAACATTCCACCACTCACGCACCACTAATAAGACATGTTTATCTAGACCCACGAGCAAATTGGCATGTGTCAAGAATAAGTCGACTCCTACTGCTCCGGTTCACTTCTGTCATCAGACGGGACGAACTTAGGATGTGTGGTTTAAGTTGATCTGATATCCAACAAACACGACAGGCAGATTTAATGTCAGCCTGCTAGTCGACGAGACGATTAGCCTGGTCTCGAGTGTTCCCAGTTTCACTAGACACAGTATCCATTCTAACGCCCTCGCATACCGACAGGTAATTCTGCAGAAGGATGATTTCCCACAAGGCTCCTAAATGTGTAAGGTAGGCTGACGAAGACTAATAAATCAAACATGGCGATCCCAGTTTACCTTTTTCTTTTCGGTATTTTTCCCTCTATATAAATATTTACTTAAAACACGTTAAGCTAACGCGGACGCCTACAGAGACAACAGCTTTTCTCAAGTTATAGTGCCTATTTCGTTACTTGCGAATTATATTCACGTATCAGTTGCCATAGAAAGTTAATGATGGTTTCCGACAGTAGCATACATGGTCAGGTGGTCAATAACCCGACCCAGTGTTGCACCAAAGTTAGACTCGGGATCTACTCCATGCCAAATGGGTTAGTCTGGAAGTTCGCTTCTTTTCAGTCTTACAATCAACCCATGTGCAACAGCTTTGAGACGGAAGTCTGGCAAACATCTATATTTGATTTCATCATTCGGTTGATGTGAAGTAACCACGCCACTGGAATGGGAACGGGAATATAGATTGCGGCTGATGCAGCACAATCCACCGTGAATAAAATCGAATCCCCACAAGTCAGTAAGCCCCTACTCCCTCGGGGAGTGGAGTGGCAGGTTAAATACTGTGGATGAACATCAGTTGATGATCACATAGACTACTGACAATCACTTTAACATGACCACTTCGACGCCCATAAACCGAAACAATGGATACGACAACCATCCTCCCACGACCTGTTCATAAAAGAAAGCTGGGGACAAAGTAAGTCTGACGATCACTACGCCGGGCATCTTCGGACTTAAGAACTACTAAGAGTGAAGGGCTCCAAACCTCAGAGCATTCCTGTGGTTAGCTCTAGCGACGAGACCTCATCCGGTCAGATGGACAGTATCCTAGCCGATCCTATGTCTCACTGGACCAAATTCTGAAGGCGGGTCACTGTTTTCCGTAACCAGTTGCAAACAGTCACGTACCTGCTCTGACACAGGAGGCAGATTACCTGACCAGCTAAAATTACCTCCCTTATCCATGCCAGAAGGCGAAGGGTGCGTCTTAATCACTAGACTCAACAACAAAATCACATTTTCCCCATCGTTTGATTTTTTCCTGAAAATATTTTTTTTCGGTAATAACAGGTCAGTAAACCTTAGGAAGGTCATACATACCGGTGCCATTGAGTTTAGTAAACGAGCGATTAAAGCGATCCTGCGAAAACAGGGTCAAGGTTTCACTTTTGTACAGGTCAAAGGTGAAAATCCATTTGATGAAGTGCATGGTGTCGCGACCCAGAGGCATCTGGGCGACTGAGTTCAAATAAACGGTACCGAGTGCCACGACCAGCATCGCCCTGACAAAGGCCAGTTTATAGTTAGGCATGTGACAGCTCACCTTCAGACAAGACGTTCGCGCGTTCACCAAACTCCATAAATGCCCATGACATACTAGCATGAAATACCACGGAAGGGTCCGTCTCCTCAGCCACTTCAACCGCGGCAATACAAGTTAAACAACAATCTTCCCTGCGTAAAGTGTGAACTCTAACCCTGACTTACATACGATCGCCTTCTTCGATCCTGTTCCATCTCAGTCAGGAAATATTCATTAGGGTCGGCCAAAAAAACGTTCCCATGGGGCAAAATAAACTCAGCGCCAATCTTACGACTACATTAGCAGACTTAGTGGAAAATGGGAACAACGCTAGAGACACACCGATAAAAAGGTCACATAGCCCGCCCTAAAACCACTCCGAGTACATTAAAGCTCTCCACGGACGAGTTTATCTCGTTTCCAGTAAGGACTCTTGGACTATGCCGTGACTTCCGATTTGTCTACCTAGTTGACTTCGCCGAATTGAATTCCATCTTGGAAGGCAGGAACTATCTCTCGACAGTCACTTCAAATTTATCGGGAGGGTTTAATACGGATAGAAGATGAGTACAAATAACTAAAGCCCCACCCGGCTCCTAAGAAGACTCCCTTTCCGAATCTGAAAAAATAGAGTACTAACTGAATAGGAATAACGGATACCGATCTTTTGTAATGCGGTAGACTGGCGACATAGGATAGGCTAGACTAGTCATGATGACTTTACAGAATTTATTTGCAAACGTTTTATGTGGGGAATTACAAATAGCCACAAAATTTTCTGACCACGACACAATTTTAGATATAAAAATGCTGGTTTTAAGGGAGCAAGGAACGACATCAAGTTTTAACGATACATCTCCGTGACAGCACAGTAAAATGCATCTGCGAGCCGGGGTCCATCCAATGAATTCAATTATTTTCGTTATCGCTTCCGTCTACAAAAAAATTGACAACGATTATTTGTGCGAGTACAAAACTGTACAAGAGAACTTACAAGAGGCAAGTTTGGACTGTATACATTTTTTAAAATTGCTGTCGTAACTCCAAAGGGAAACTAGTGTAGTGTAACATGCCACCTAGCTTATGTTATGAAATGGTACGAATATCCTCTAGGCCACGACCATAAAACCACCAAATGACCGACAATTAGCCGGATATTCGTAACCTAGATTTAAGGATCAAATTCACATTAATTCAAGAGCCAGTACGGAAATTAAAAGCGGCCCTTAATCGCTAAAACATTATTTCTGGGCCAAAGCAACAATTGGAAAAAGTATACCTTGACTTCCGTAGGAACGGTCATCGCGGGGAGAACCAGACACAGACCTATGGCGAGAGGGTGAGTGTGAAGGAGACCGGGACGACTGAGGTGTGTGTTTTTCACTGCCATTTTCGTCTGAGTGCGACTCACGGCGGCGGTCACTGCCCTTCTTACTGGAGCCGTTGACTGGACTGGAACTGACACGAGACGCGGCTCTTGAGACTGACCGAGAATGTTCTGAAGATGCAGAACGATGTCTTGGAG